AAGGACCAACCAGGTAGCACCTTCTACCAGATGGATGGCAATTCAAAGAGTAGCAATGTTTTAATTACTGTGTTCTTAAAATTTATTTTTATATCAGCTGTTTTAATACATTATATTTCTCTTTAGAAGCAATTCTTTGTTAGTTTGATATATTAAAATTTATAGATTATTTAAACCAGTATTTGCTGTGACTCTATGATATTCCAAGGACCACTCCAGGCACTGGGGATTAAATAATTTGGCCCCTCTTCGCTGGAATTCTTTGGTCTTAGGAACTGGGTTTTCAGTCTGTATCCCCAGTCGTTAGCATATGCTTGGTACATAGTATTTGCTTAAAAAATAAGATTGATTGAATATTCAAAGTATGATGAGTGCCCAAGGAAAGCACTTGATTTAGTGGGTGTGTCTCTGAGTAGAGGGACTATGCTGAGCAAAACACAGTGAGATGTAAAAATGTAGTGTGTTCTAGTTAGGTGGTATGGGATAAGGCTGGAAAGGTTGCCTGAGGATAGATAAGGGAGGGTGGAATTTATCTAAATTCAGTGTGGGGCCATAAGAAATCAAGCAGAGATGTAATTGTTCATATTGTTTCATCTATTGAATGAGTTGATTTCCCTTGAAATAAAGGTAGGCACTTCTATAACAGGTAGGCACTACACTTTTTAGATATTGGCAGCATCTATCAAAAGTAAAGATATGCTTAACCTTCTATCTTTCGTCTTGGATAAAACTTATATCTAACAATTGGAAGGTTTGTAGTTTACCTTACAGATATACTGGTACCAGTGAAAAACAACATATATATAGGAATGTTTATGACACAGTTGATTGTGGTAGCATAACTTGTTTGTGGTAGTATAAACAATCTTAATGTTCATCAATAAGAGAATAGCTAACTAAGTTTCAGTGTAACTGTAGTGTGGAATATAAAGCAATCAATAGGAAGACATAGGTAGGGCTATATATATTGGTCAAGCAGTGTCTCCAAGATTGTCCATAAAATTAAGTCACTAACTCATACGTTAATTACAAAAGTGTGTATACTCATGTGCATACCCATAGACATATTTGAATTAATAGACATCTGGAAAGATGTATACCAAGCTGTGATCTATGGTTACTAACGGAAAGGTTACTGGGCTTGAGGGTGTTTGTAAAGAGACTTACTATTACCATACATTTGGGTGATGCATGTTGGACACACTATGCAACTTACCATTTTAAGTGTGTAATTCAGTGGCTTTTAAAATATTCACAAAGTTGTGCAGCCATCAACACAATCCATTTTAGAACATCTTCGTCACTCCAGAAATAAATCATACACTCCTTAGTCATCATCAAACAGTCCTCCTATACCCCCAGCCCTAGGTAACCATCAATCTACTTTCTTTCTCTATAGATTTGCCTATTCTTTACAGTTAACATAAATGGAAGCATGTAATCTGTCATCCTCTGTGACTACTTTTTTCACTTTACATAATGTTTTTAAGGTTCATCCATGTTGTACCATGTCCAATCCTTTATATGGATATATCCCTTTTTTTTTTTTTTGAGACAGGGTCTCTCTCTGTCACCTAGGCCTGAAGTGCAGTGGTGTGATCTCAGCTCTCTGCAACATCTGCCTTCCTAGTTCAAATGAGTCTCTGCCGTGGCGTCTCAACTGCTTGGGACTATGGGCATGCACCACAATGCCCAGCTAATTTTTGTATTTTTAGTAGAGACAGGGTTTCACCATATTGGCCAGCGGGTCTCAAACTCTTGACCTCAAGTGATACACCCACCTCAGTCTCCCAAAGTGCTGGGATTACAGGCATGAGCCTCCTCGCCCAACCTTTTCTTTATACATTCAAAGACATTTCACTGTGTCTTTGGATCACTGTACTTTTTAACTATTATGAATAATGCTGCTGTAAACATTCATTTATAAGTTTTTGTGTAGAATATATGCTTCCACTTCGCTTGGGTATGTACCTACTGGTGGGATGTCTGATTCATATGATAATCTGCCAGCCTTCCTGGTAGGTATAATGTATGCTATTATGGTTTTGGTTTGCATTTCCTTTATTGCTAATGACATTCAGCATATTTTCATGTGCCTACTGGCCATTTGCATATATTCTCTGGAAATAATGCCTATTTAGATCCTTTGCCCAGTTATTAATTATATTATTGGCCTTTTTATTACTACATTATGTATCTTATATATTCTAAATGCAAGTTCCTTATCAGATAAATAATTTGCAAAACTTTTCTCCTACTCTGTGGGTTGTCTTTTCACTTCTTTAATGGTGTCTTTGAAGCACAAACATTTTTAACTTTGATGATGTCCAATTTATCCATGTTTTTCTTTTGTTCTGAAAATGTATATTTCATGTATATTTACAATACAATTAAACCAAATGTTAAAATTAAGTAATTTATAATCTTCAAAACTGAGAAGGAATATAGAGTTCCCTTTAGGAGTTAGGTAAGAGATTTTTATTGTTTCAAAGATTTTAGAGTTTGGTGGCACTGGTTTTTATTTTATTACTGAATCAACATCCACACCTCCATTTACCTGATACAATGGTAATATTGTGTAACCATTACGTTTATATGATTTGACATGAGAGTGTTTTTGTTTTGACAAATTTTCCTAGATTTGTAAGAGAGGAGAATAACGTAAAGGATAAAGAAAACATGTATTTTGAGTTAAAAAATAAACTTCTAAATATTTAATCTGTATATTGTTAAAGTAGAACAGTAAGGTGAAATTGTTTTCAGGATTCTTCCTCTGGTAGTTAAAACAAAAGTGGAGAAGAGAAGAGATGTTGGGTCAAACTTTTCACAAATTGGTTGTTAGTGGTAACATTGGCCCAAGACAGCTGAATTCCTGTCTTGAGAAAAGATGTTGTAGGAGAAATCCCAGGAAGTGAGGAAAGGACTGTAGAGTCCATGGATAACCAGTAGTGTGCAAAGGTGGAAGGGTTATGAATTGAATTTTGTCATACAGATGATGCATGTTGGACTATTTGCTTAAGTCTTTCTGTCTATGAACTGAGCAAGGAGCAATGCTAAAAATCTAAAGCACCAAACGATTAAGAAGAAGTGAAAAGGGACCTACCTCCCAATGCCAAATTCCAACATTACTCTTAAGACCAATTATGAGTTGAAATATTTCATTTATTTGACTCACAGACCAATCCAGATGCTGAGACTCTGTTACTAGATTATGTAGGGTGTAATTATGTCTTTTTTTTTTTTTTAAAGAAAACTCCTGGGGATTCCTGTAACCCAAGGGAGTTTTTCAACTTGGAGTAAAATGCTACTTCTTTTTTTCCCCCAACTGAAAGTTGATGTTTCCTTCCAATTTGAATGCAAGTGACCAACCCATACCAATATTAGAAGTATCTATGACTTTGTCGCAGTAGAAATTACATGAATTGTTATATTATATTGTAGCTGTTAAGAGATCTCCAAACATTTAAGTTCATCATTATTTTGAAATGAAGGTGGTTATTAGACCTGCCACTACATTTCAAAACTTTAGTGTATTAATAAAGAAGGACATACATTGTTGTTTACAAATCTGTTTTCTAAAATTATTTTGATAACTGTATTTTGATATAACTGGTTTCTTTGGTAATCCTATATATTTTATCTGATGTATTTAAAACATTATTCCGACATATTTTGACCAGACAGTTAAAGGATTGATAGCCCAACCCGAGTATAGGATCTTAAACTTAACACTTTAAAGTAAATTTATTTCCCTTCTTTTTGGAACAGCTCCACAAAATTGTATTATTTTTTCCAAATTCTTATAAATCTCTGTAGGGATATCGGCAAACCTTCTAAACAACTCTGCTTAACTATGTGACCAAGTTATTTATTTATTTAATAGTCAGTTATGGAATGAAGTTCTTTTTTTTTTTGAGACGGAGTTTCGCTCTTTTTCACCCAGGCTGGAGTGCAATGGTGTGATCTCGGCTCACGGCAACCTCCGCCTCCTGGGTTCAGGCAATTCTCCTGCCTCAGCCTCCTGAGTAGCTGGGATTACAGGCACGCGCCACCGTGCCCAGCTAGTTTTTTGTATTTTTAGTAGAGACGGGGTTTCACCATGTTGACCAGGATGGTCTCGATCTCTTGACCTCGTGATCCACCCGCCTCAGCCTCCCAAAGTGCTGGGATTACAGGAATGAAGTTCTTTGCTATGTCTTGTAAAGGACACAGAGTTGAAAAGACATGGACACCATTTTCAAAGGTGCTTTTAATTTTGGGAAGGAGTGGACAGATAATGCATATAATATTTAGCAGAGAGAGCTGGGGAGTAGTGCTATTTGGGCTGACTATGAAGTAGCCAAGCTGGTAGCTTAAAATGAAAATTGTGTTGTGATGGTGTGTCTGTTATGTTGGAAGTTCATTCACAGTTGAGACGGAACAGAAATCAAGCTGAGGCTTCAGTTAGGATTCCCAGGGATATCCTGAGTTATCCTTTGGTTTTCCAGCTCCTACAAGACAAGTTAGTTTCTTAAATAAAACATATCACTACTTTGGCTCTTTCTGGTTTCTTATACCTTTATGTCTGTCTTTTCAGGGAAAATACAACAGAAATCTACACAATCATAAATGGGTAAGAGAAGATGTGACAAGAGCACCTGAGACTCAGGAGTTTTAGTTAAGAACAAACTGAAATTAAACAGTATAACTTTATAGATTAATCCAGTCTCTATTTATTATTGTATTATGAAAAGTGTGGTATTCAGAATAAGAAAAATAATTTTAAAAACCTATTCTTGCCAGATGACACCAACAATGAATGCATCATCTTTTAAAGTTTGTTTTACAACACTGAAATGTTCTAATGAAAGAAACATGATCATCTTATGAAGGGGATCCTTGAAATTTTCAGTAGCAATTGGGGCAATTCCTAAGCCTGCACCTCTAAATTATATACTTTTATAGGTATGCATGCCTATGGTTAGCACATAGTGACTTCTTACTGAAAAGGGCAACAAACTATGAGACAGATAAATCAGACACAGGTGACAGAATTCCTCCTTCTGGGACTCTCCAATGGCCCGCACATCCAGCAGCTGCTATTTATCTTATTCCTGGGTGTCTACCTGGTCACTGTGCTTGGAAATCTGCTTCTCATGTCCCTTGTTCATATTGACTCCCGGCTTCACGCACCCATGTATTTTTTTCTCTGCAACTTGTCTCTGGCTGACCTCTGTTTCTCTACCAACATAGTTCCTCAGGCACTAGTCCACCTGCTTTCCAGGAAGAAGGTCATTTCATTCACACACTGTGCAGCTCAACTTCTCTTTTTCCTCATTTTTGGGTGTACACAGTGTGCCCTTCTGGCAGTGATGTCCTATGATCGCTATGTGGCAATTTGCTATCCTCTGCATTACCCTAGCATCATGACCTGGAAAGTGTGTGTCCAGCTGGCCACAGGATCATGGACAAGTGGCATTCTGGTGTCTGTGGTAGACACCACCTTCACACTGAGGCTACCCTACCAAGGCAGTAATAGTATTGCTCATTTCTTTTGTGAGGCCCCTGCATTATTGATCTTGGCATCCACAGACACCCACACATCAGAGATGGCCATTTTTCTTACGGGGGTCGTGATTCTCCTCATACCTGTATTTCTAATTCTGGTATCCTGTGCCATATCATAGTAACTGTGGTCAAGATGAAGTCAACTGTGGGGAGTCTCAAGGCATTTTCTACCTGTGGCTCCCACCTAATGGTGGTCATACTTTTTAATGGATCAGCAATTGTCACTTACATGACACCCAAGTCTTCCAAACAGCAGGAAAAATTGGTGTCTGTTTTCTATGCAATGGTGACTCCCATGCTTAATCCCCTCATCTATGGCCTGAGAAACAAGGATGTGAAGGGAGCTCTGAGGAAAGTAGCCACAAGAAATTTCCCATGCAAGCTTGGAATCTCACACTAATAGTGAGCTCAGAGACCCTGTTGGCTTCCTACTTCGAAGACTTGCTGGGAAGACATGGAACCAATCCAGGGGGATTGGATTTTGGTGTACTTGATTTTTCAAGTCACCCACTTGGCCCTCTTCCAAGTTGTACTTTTCTTCTTTTTTCTCCTTTCCTTTCCTTCCTTATTGTTCCAAAGCTTTTTAATAAACTTTCACTCCTGCTCTGAAGAAGAAAAGTACATATACACCATGGAATACTATGCAACAATAAAAAAGAATGAAATCAAATTTTTCACAGAAACATAGATGGAGCTTGAAACCATTATCCTAAGTGAATTAGCACAAAAACAGAAAACCAAATACTTCATGTTCTCACTTATACGTTGGGTACATATGAAGACAAAGATGGAACAATAGACATTGGGGACTGCTAGATTATGGAAGGGAGGGAGATGCATTTACAAAAACTGCCTATTACCTACTCATTAGCTGGGTGAGGGATTCATTTCCAAATCTCAGCATCACGCAATATACCTCTGTAACAAACCTGCATGTGTACCCCTGATTCTAAAATACAAGTTAAAAAAAGAAAAACCTGCACATTGGATTTCAAATGTTCACATCAATATGAAAATAGAATATAAACCATGTCATTAATAATTTTATGTGGATGGCATGAAAATAGAATAATATTTTGATATATTGGATAAAATAAAATTATATTATTAAAGAGAACTTGCTGGATAGCCCTCTTCATTGTGAATCTAAAATATGGTAAGATTTAAAGTGATGGATACGATAATTACACTGATTTGATCATTATACAATGTTTACTTGCATTGAAACATCACACTGTATTCCCAAACTGTATATAATTATGTCTATTGTGAATAAAAATATGGTAAGATTCTTATTCTCAAGCCTTATCTATAGACACCCTCTCTATCCTTCATCCCACATTTCTTTCATAGAAGGAGAAGGACAATAATTCATGGAGCAATTGGAAGGAGGATATGCTTCCTTCTGGTTGGTCCTTTGACACCTGACTTAAGGAATCTCCTGAGAAACATGCACATTTTATAAGCCTAGTAAAATCTACTTTTTTAATAATGCTGTCTATTATCACCTGTCTATCCCAGATCTTACTCCAAGTCCTTTATCTTTTTGTACTTCAGAGTCTCTCTGCATCATCAAATGATCAATAAATTAACAGACATCACTGAATCACTTACTATGAGCTAGATGCTACATGTGGGTTGGCATATGCACCTGTATGTGTGGTTAAATTGGGTAATGAAGAGCATGGGTACAATGAAGCAGAATATGAACTCTGCTGTCCTCACACTCTTTTTAGAAGCATAAGGATTATATTTATCAGGATACACCTTCATAAAGATGAATAAAGGGGTTGTGAAGACCAGCAAGAGATAGTGACATTTCCCAAGAATAGTGACATAGACCAAGAGTGAGAAGCTCTAACTAATGCTAAGTTTGAATGACTAAGAGGAGGGAATTAGAACCTGGAGAGGGTAGCTATACACTAAGGCTACAAAAGACAAACGGTGGATGTAGGTTACATGAAGGCAAGGAAACCATGAGATGAAATATTTCTCAAGCCCATTTTCCACCCACCTTCCAATCCCCTGTTATTGTATTCCAATTAGAAGCTAAGGAACAAAGAGACTTTTTGTATAATCCATAAAAGACATCAAACATTCTGAAGCACATAGCAAGCTGGAAAAGGATAGAAGGTAGATCTGAAAATGTCAACAAGTGAAGTACACCCCTTTTGTCCTCAGCATCCACTTCTTCTTCCAGTGATTACTTTATGTTTCTAATACAGGAAACACATAAAATTCCCTTATGAACTTTATCACAGCAGCATGATATCAAGTAGCTCACACTTCTACTTGATACATAACAGAATAGCTCCCATCATGATTATTCACATAAAAACATTGAAAACTGAAGAGCAATAAAAAAGGAAATAATTAGAAGAAAACATAGCTGCTGTAGCTCCTAATCCTGCACCAGACATAACTTGATAATTACAGCTTGTTCTTTCATTACACTTTCATGGATTTCTTATTTTCTGCTTTAAGCTCAGCTTACTGGAGCTTTTTTAACGGTTGTGGCAAAATAAAACGACTTGCCTGTAATAATATTTGAGTTCTTGATGATTCTGTATTTACTTTTTTTTTAACTTTTAGTTTCAGGGGTACATGTGCTGGTTTATTACATAGGTAAGTTGTGTGTCACGGGGGTTTGGTGTACAGATTATTTCATCATCCAGGTAATAAGCATAGTATCCCATAGGCAGTTTTTTTTAATCCTCACCCCTCTCTTATCTTCCACGCTCAAGTAGGCCACTGTATGTGTTGTTTTATTATTTCTATCTGTGTGTGCTCAATGTTAAGCTCCAACTTATAAGTGGGAACACGCAGTATTTGGTTTTCTGTTCCTGTGTTAACATAGGATAAAGGTCTCTAGCTCCATCTATGTTGCTGCAAAAGACATGATCTTGTTCTTTTTTATGGCTATTTAGTATTCCATGGTGTTTATGTACCACATTTCCTGCTATTGATGGGCATTTAGGTTGATTTAGGTCTTTGCTGTTGTAAATAGGTTGATTTAGGTCTTCACTGTAGTGAAAAGTGCTGGAATGAACATAACCATGCACGTGTCTTTATGGTAGAGCGATTTATTTTCCTTTGGGTATATACCCAGTAATGGCATTGCTGGGTCAAATGGTAGTTCTGTTTTTAGGTTATTTGAAAAATCACCAAGCTGCTTTCCACAGTGGCTGAACTAACTTACATTCCCACCAGAGAAGTGTTGCCTTTTCTCTGCAACATTGACAGTGTCTGGGTTTTGTTGCTGTTGTTGTTTCTTTACTTTTTAATAGTAGCCATTTTGACTGGTATGAGATGGCACCTCACTGTGGTTTTGATTTGTATTTCTCTAATGATTAGTGATGTTCAGCATTTTGTCACATGCTTTCTGGCCACTTGTATGTCTTCTTTTGTAGTGTCTGTTCACACTTTCCAAAAGAAGACATACACAAGGCCAAGAAACATACGAAAAAATGCTCATCATCACTAGTCATTAGAGAAATGCAAATCAAAACCACAGTGAGATACTACCTCATGCCAGTTAGAATGGTGATCATTAAAAAATCTGGAGACAACAGATGCTGGAGAGAATGTAGAGCAACGGAAACACTTTTACACTGTTGGTGGGAGTATAAATTAGTTCAACCATTGTGGAAGACAGTGTGGCTATTCCTTAAGGACCCAGAAAAAGAAATTCCATTTGACCCAGCAATCCCATTACTGGGTATATACCCAAAGGATTATAAATCGTTCTATTATGAAGACACATGCACATGTATGTTCATTGCGACATTGTTTACAATAGCAAAGATGTGGAAGCAACCCAAATGCCCATCAGTGATAGACTGGACAAAGAAAATGTGGCACATATATACCATGGAATACTATGCAGCCATAAAAAATGATGAGTTTGTGTCGTTTGTAGGGACATGGATGAATCTAGAAACCATAATTCTCAGCAAACTGACACAAGAACAGAAAACCGAATACCGCATGTTCTCCCTCATAAGCAGGTGTTGAACAATGAGAACACATGGGTACAGGGAGGGGAACATCACACACTGGGGTCTGTTGGGGGGTGGGGGGCTAAGGGAGAGACAGTGGGGGTTGGGGAGGTTGGGGAGGGATAACACTGGGAGAAATGCCTGATGTAGGTGATGGGGGGATGGAGACAGCAAACCACCATGGCATGTGGGTACCTATGCAACAATCCTGAAAGATCTGCACATGTACTCAGAACTTAAAGTACAATAAAAAAAAAAAAAAGAAGGAAAGTGTCTGTTTGGCAACCTACAGAATGGCAGAAAATTTTTGCGATCCATCCATCTGACAAAGGTCTAATATCCAGAATCTATAAGGACCTTAAGCAAATTTTCAAGAGAAATACCAAGCAACTCCATCAAAAAGTGGGCATAGGATATAAACAGACATTTCTCTAAAGAAGACACTTATAAGGCCAACAGACATGGAAAAAAGCTCATCACTGGTCTTTAGAGAAATCCAAAACAAAACCACAATGAGATATCATCTCACACCAGTTAGAACCGCCATCATTAAAGTCAGGAAACAGCAGATGCTGCAGAAGATGTGGAGAAATAGGAACACTTTTTTTATACTGTTGGTGGAAGTATCAATTAGTTCCACCATGTGGAAGGCAGTGTGGCAATTCCTCAAGGATCTAGAACAAGAAATACCATTTGACCCAGAAATCCCATATTGGGTATATACTCAAAGGATTACAAATCATTATTTCCTTTCCTCTTTCTATAATTCAGAATATTTTATTGAGTGCCAGATTTGGTGAATTGTACTCTGATGGATGCTGGGTATTTTGGGTACTCCTATAAATCTTCTTGAGCTGTTTTAGAATTCAGTTAATTTACTTGAAGATAATTTTGTCCTTTTATGTTTTGCTGTATGATTTGTTAGGTGGGTCTGAAGCAGTGCTCAGTCTAGGGACAAGTATTCCTCATTACTGAAATTAGACTTTGCTGCATCCTCTATCCAATATTCCATGAATTATAAGTTTTTCCAACCTGAATGTTGGGAACAGGAACTATTATGGACACTATGTGCATGCCAAGCACCTCTGATACTTCCTCAGATTATTTCTGATGGCTATTTCCCCAGCCTTGGACAGTTTCTTCAGATGTATGTGCTTGACTCTATTAAATAGCCAAAATGAATCCCTTTTAGATCTTTAAGGTTCTCTTTCTCTGTGATCTCTCTTCTCTGTTATACATTCATAAGGTTTACCTCATTTATTTTTAGTCTCTCAGCAATCACTTTCCTTTGTTGCTTGATGCCCGTGCCTTGAAAGATCATTGTTTCATGTATTTTATGTGCTCTTATTTTACTGTTTTAGGTGACAGATAAGTCCACTTCCTGTTATCAAATTTTGGTGAA